ACACAAAGGTATTGCGAGGGAACACAAAGGTATTGCGAGGGAACACAAAGGTATTGCGAGGGAACACAAAGGTATTGCGAGGTAATGCAAAGGTATTGCGAGGGAACACAAAGGTATTGCGAGGGAACACAACGGTATTGCGAGGGAACACAAAGGTATTGCGAGGTAATGCAAAAGTATTGCGAGGGAACGCAAAAGTATTGCGAGAGAACACAAAGGTATTGCGAGGTAATGCAAAAGTATTGCGAGGGAACGCAAAAGTATTGCGAGGTAATGCAAAAGTATTGCGAGGGAACGCAAAAGTATTGCGAGGGAACGCAAAGGTATTGCAAGGTAATGCAAAAGTATTGAGGGAACGCAAAAGAAAAAATCCCCCCATGTCCCCTCGCGGGCTTCGTAATAAGCCAGCTGTCTCTCCACAGCTGCAGCTGGAGAAGAGTAAAGGGGAGATCCTGGGCGTGGTGATTGTGGAGTCCGGCTGGGGCTCCATCCTGCCCACGGTCATCTTGGCCAACATGATGAACGGCGGCCCGGCAGCTCGCTCCGGCAAGCTCAGCATCGGAGACCAGATCATGTCCATCAACAACACCAGCCTCGTGGGGCTGCCGCTCGCCACCTGTCAGGGAATCATTAAGGTACGCAGACGCTGAGTCGATCACATATATCCTCACCAGATTTCTTTTCAAAATAACGGGACACCCAAGCATGAATGTGTTTTGTGTTAAAGGGCTTAAAGAACCAGGTGACGGTGAAAATGAACATCGTCAGCTGCCCTCCTGTCACCACAGTCCTCATCAAGAGACCAGATCTGAAGTATCAGCTGGGCTTCAGTGTCCAGAATGGTATTGTGAGTATGAGCTGACTGGCCTGTCATTACTTGGACATTATTCACTTTCAATTTAATGAAGCATTCTAATGTTTCTTCCTCATAAACTGTACATTCTGTGCCTGCTATAATGAGTATTTTTTACACTCGTAAATGTTTTCGTTATTATTATTATTTTTTGTTATGTTGGATATAAAAAACTCTTCGCTATGATCAATTATTTTAAAACGTATTTACAAATTAAATTGATTGATGAAGCAATCTGAAGGTGGCATCACACTGAGCTGTGATTTTTGGAGACTAGACTAATGCACAAAGCAGGCTGACCTCATTGCAGTTGCACAAACTCAACAGGTAAATGCTGTTATACCAACCCGATGTATTTGCTCTAAACTGATTTGTGTTAAACTTTCCTTTAGGATCATAGACGTGATTTTTCATAGATATCCAAACCTGCTTTTTGAGCTTTTTGAGTTTGCATAATTCCATTAGCATTTTTTCTTATACCAACCTCCTCAGCTTCTATCCAGTTGACCTGTGACCCACAAAAGATGGACTTTGCTCTGTGCATTTCTAACTACGAAATCTTCTATTGCAGTGGTATCCAACTAGTGGTTGAATACCCTGGTTTTCTACACATGTTCTTTTAATTAGACATAGAAGTATGGRATCTACAGAAARGTCAGAATCTTGGCTATAATCTGGTGAAAACCATTTCAATGAAAATCCAGGACAGTTAAAACTACATGAAAGTGAAAAAAAGGCAAGTCAGCGATGTCAAAATGTTGTTGTTTTTTTGTATTAAATAGGAGGCTGAATGTGTTACTTTTGTTTTTGATATTGCTTTATTGTCACTACATTTATTCCATAGGGTTCTGTATGTTGTATTCATGATTAAATGCAGAAAGATAAACTAATTCAAAGGTAACAGATCGTTGTAATACTTGGTTTATTTACATAATGGCTTCAGTTGCTGGATGTTCAGCCCCTGTGCTGTTGGCCTGCAGTAACTGTGGCCCCTGGAACAATTTAATTGAATAACCCTGGTCTATTGTCATTTGAAGTCTCGCTGTTTTGAGTATTTGCAAACAGCGAGTCGTTGGGCTGTGTTTGAGCAGCGGGTTTTGAAAATAATGGCCTATTTTCAAGTGCATGTCTTAACAAACTGTCTCATAGGCCATGCTCAGTGTTTCTTACCCACCTCTGCCCACATCACACTCACCTTGGCTCGCTTTGTATCCACTTTGGCAGCCGCTCCTGCGTTTATGATTTAATCTACTGGAGAACACTTCAGAAATGAAGACAGGCAGGTTTGATAATTACCATCGACCGGGGTTTTTTAAGACCTGGACATTCAGGGTTGTAGCCAAAAGACAGCTCCTGTGCAGACATGAAAATACAGKTCCAATGCTTTGGAACTGACAGAAACTAAATTGACATCCACAATAAATGATTATTTTGAGAGAAAACTGAAAACCCCAGCTGAATATTTTAAGATATTTTGAAACTCTTTTGTCACCAACAGTCACAGCCCAGAGACACGAGACTTTTAGCAAGAATCAGTCACTGTCTGCTTTAAATTTCCACGTTTCTGTTGTTACACATCAACGAACTTTGAGTTTATTCTCACAAAAAAGAATAAAAAGATATCCTTGTGTGTGTTCTACCATGCAGATATGCAGCCTGATGCGAGGGGGCATCGCAGAGCGAGGTGGGGTCCGCGTGGGTCACAGGATTATAGAGATCAACGGGCAGAGCGTGGTGGCCACAGCACACGAGAAGATTGTTCAAGCGCTCTCCAACTCTGTTGGCGAGGTCAAACTGACGCTTCCCCACAAAACCACAAATCCACACAGACAATTTCCACATGTAGACATTTTCAAAGAAGAACATAACAAAGGAGCCCTCTGGTTTTACACTTTTTACATAAAACTTTTCTCATCACAAGCAGTACCACTCCATCTGTGAAGAAATACATTCAAGTTTAGATTTTAACCTTCACTTTCCACATATTTTACTTCTAAACGCTGAGTAAAATACACTTTAGATGGTCCACATTTGAAGAAATCATAAAAATACCAGAAATAACAACATTGTCACTAACATTTTAATCTTATTTAGCTCACTGTTCTTACATTTTGCTCATGTTTGCTAAATGTTAAATTTAAATGTTATGTCTAAAATTTAAATCCTAAATGTTGTGACTAAATGATAAAGTTTACATTTAGGTATTTCGGAAAGGATCGCAGACTTTTGTTGTCGGTGCACAGCTGTTGTTACGACATCATCATTCTTCAATAAATGCAACTGCTAACTCTGCTAACTCTGCTAACGCTGCCCTACAAGACATCAAACCTGTTGCAGCCAGTGTCCCAGCTGCACTTTAAAATGCTGGACCACATCTACACATCCATATTGTTTTCAGTGAACACGTTTTTATGGTCATTTAGATTTTAAATGCGGTCTTCAGCAGCATTAGTAGCATTGGCAGCGTTAGCGGTTGCTTTTTGTCGCAGGGTGATGATGTCACAACAAAAGTCCCGCATCAACAGCAAAGGCTGCGTTCCATTCCCAAGTTCTTTAATGCTAATTTAGCTTCAGCATTAAAGATTTAACTTTTACATTTAAATATGCACATTTTGATTTAGAATTTAACATTTAGACATAYCATTTAACATTAAGTAAAAATTTGCTAATTGTATYAGCAGTGAGCTAATAACAAGAAAATCTTAGTGGAAGAAAATGTAACTATAATATTACACTCAGAAAGAGAGAAACATAATAAAAAGGGACATTTTTAAGCATTTTATTTTACATTTTGTGTCACATAAGCAGCTACATCATTTAACATGTATGAGTTTTCTGTCTTTTATAGAAACATGATTATTAACACACAACATCCAAACCCCACTTGTTTAATTGCTTTTTTTATTTGTTGTTTTGTCTACATTTTGAAAATGCTTCATATCTCTCTTCAGATCCACATGAAGACCATGCCAGCAGCCATGTTCAGGCTTCTAACGGGACAGGAAACGCCCATGTACATATAAATGATGAAGAGGAGCCACTTCACAGGACTTCATCATCCTCATCATCTCACTATGAGCAGATTAGTCACCAACAGGAGGCTCCTTCCTCCAGCAATTCATTTCTCTTTATTTGGTTCCTTTAAAGACTTCAGTTCATCATCACTTTGTTTGCGATTAACATGCAGCAGCTATTTACCGACAGAAGACGCCTGATCTGAYGAGGCAGCATGCGTGTGAATATTATTTATTTGTCCCGTCTGTGATTATTTTCGTTGCGTTAGTGAATCATTTTGGACGGYGTTGTCGAATCCGACGTGCCACAGTTTACTTTTTAAATTCCCATAATGCAATATGATGTTCTCACTATACAGGTTGTATAGTTGCATTTTTTTCTTTCCTCTCGTTTAATTAATTTATATATATTTTGTGTAAATACARAATAGGCAGTTGGAGGAAAGGGGCGGAGCCACAGCTGCTTTGTAAATATTTACTGACTCTTGCTGTTGAGCTGGAAGCTGATCAGGATGATGTCAGAGACACAAACACATCGCAGATATCGTAGTTTGTGTCGGCGGGGAAAAAAACGGCGGAGTTTCTGTGTTTGCTGAGCTGAAACGACGCACACAGCAGGGGTTCATGGGAGAAACGCCATATTCTGTTTTTTCATTTACAGCATCTTAAAGGCAATACCCAAATTTAACTTCTGGATGGCGAGTCCTTTTTCTAAATCTCATGTACAAATACGCACATTCAAACAACCGTTAACATTCTGCTTTTTAATATGGAGTGTACGAGGAATGGCGTTTACTTGTGTGTTCWTCTTTTAGTGTTCTGACTGAAACTCATGCGTACTAATGAGTGGACRGTGAATGTAACCGTGTCGTGTGAGCCGTCTCATCGCCATAAGCAGTATTAGAATGTCTGTACATAAAAGAGAAACTCGTCCAGTATTGTGCTCATGTTAAGAAACCAAACACACAGGTTCACGTCACTGCAAACATCCCGGCTGGACGTCAGCCRTCAGAGACYGCTGTGATTCACACACTGACACAGYACAAGTCCTTACTGTGAGGTAATGACTTTATGGTACAACGTAGTCAATTCTAACTGTATGAACATTATGTGTGTGCATGCCTCGTAAAGTAGTATCATGTCACTGTGGCAAGATAATAAAACCTGAGCTAAACCTGACTGTATTTCTTCCTCTGTTTGAGCGGCTTAACTTCACGCCGAAGCTAAAAGTCACAATTTGMTTGAAACGTGATTCTGTGAGAAAACATGAAAAATAAAAACAAAAACAAGACTTTGACAGCTAAATAGGCTTAAAAATGATGGAACGTATTGCAAAAAATGCCATTCTGTGGATTTAACCCCTTAACAGTCATCTATAAAAAAAAAATTAAAAAGCCTTTTGACATTTTATTTACTTGTAAGGATGTTAAACTAAAGGTAACAACCGGAGGAAGTCGTCTGACACACTAGTTTTCAAAATAAAAGCCCCCCAGTAGCATCTTAATGCCCCTTACCAGTCACCCATGAAATTCCTTAAATTCCTWTTGACATTTTTAYTTTTGYTAAGGGTTTCAAACTAAAAGTAAGAACTAGAGGAAGTCGTCTGACARCKTYGGTTTCAAAAMAAAAGCCCTCAGTAGCGTCCTGAAACGTTTGAAGGCAGAAACCTCACCATCCCAGTGATGGAACAAAGACTGTTAGGGGGTTAATCCTTTAGAAATTAGACCAATAATTTCAGCACTGAGCTATAATAATAAGTATTTTATTGTGTATGTTACAGAAGTTGAAAACTCAGGGCAATAAACAATAGAAACAAACAAGTACTWATTATTAATTAGACTCAATTAGATCCAAGAAACGTCCAAAAGAATCAGGTTGTGTGTTGAGAACAGGAAAGACACACAAACAGAAGGATTAGTTTAGATGTAACTTCTATGGAAATAAAAACAAAAACACAGGTTAATGATAGCAGTAATTACAAACACAAACATGGAGAACAGAGTGAGTGAAGACAGCAGCAGAGTGAGGAAATGTGGCCAGTTTGTCCTCCAGCAGTCTAAGCCTAAAAGCAGCAGAACTAAGGAACGCTCAAGAAACCAACCCTAACTATAGGAATTATCGGGAAGGAAAGTCTTAACGTTAAAAGCAGACAGTGTGAGCCTCACAGACAGAGGCTGGAAGTTGGTGCTAAATGCAGCATGATGGAGTAAAATGTTGTGAATGAACCACTGAGGTGGGCGGCACAGTGGTGCAGTGGTCAGAGCTGCTGTCTTCTCAGAAGGTTGTAGAATGATCACCTCCTGGACTGAGGCCCTTCTGGGTACACGTTCTGTCTGTGATGTTTTCTCCCCCACAGACCAAAAACCTGCACATTACTGGTAACTCTAAACTGTCCCTGCTTCTTTGTGTCTCAGTGATGGACTGTCCAATGTCACCTGCCTCTCACAGTCACTGCTGGAGAAAGACACCAGCTTCCTGTGATCCAGAAAGGACAAACAGGTAAAGGGATGGATGGATGGATGGATGGATGATTTATTGAGGCCACACCAGTTTGTTTTACTCACAAGTAAAAATAATTTGCTTTTATTAAATTTTCCTTCCTGTTCTCTTTTGTGCAAAACAAAGACAACTAAGTGGAAACATTTTGCTTTCTTATTAGATGTTCTTAGATCAGAATGAGCATTAAACGTGGAAAAAGGGAAAAAGGCCTCACCAGTCCACTGTCTTACATCAGTTCCAGTTTCCTGTATGCTTTAATACCCCACAGTTAACACAATATAACATCCTGCCACCTTTTGGTTGACAATTCCACTTCAAGCCTCTAATACCCTCTAGTGGTGAAAGCTAGGTAGTACAGAAAATATAAAAAAATATATAAAATTTGGCACAAAAATATGGTAGATTACTTTTTTGTTGTAACAATGCTTCTTGGCAATTAATCTTATATCATACACCTGACTGGCAGCACCTGGGGTTACCAAAAGCTCAAAACAGAGAGCAGTGAAGATTTGGCTAAATTTTCAGGAGCCCAACCCACAAACTCAGGTCTCCTGCTCATCCTACGAATGCGTGTTCCTTACAAATGTGGRGTTTAAAAGGTAAACAAACAGACTTTTCAACAGTATAAGATTTATTACCAAGAAATCAGTACGGAAAAATCAGGTAAAGATAACAGATGGAAAAAATTAAATTCAGCTCAGTATTTAAAGATTATTTTTAATTTAATACAGTATTGAAAATTGTTACTACAGTGCAAGAAAACATGCTAACTTCGTACAGTCATAAACATCAGACCCATGTCAATCAATCAGTTACTTGTACCGTCTGAAGGTAAACATGTGACATGCTGTCYTTCGTTGGTGCTGCGACCAGTGGTTCTGTTATCTGTCTGAGGTCAGAGTACAGTTGGTGCTGAGTCAAATTCAGCTGATCTGATTTGTTTTACTGAAAGTAGGCAGGGTGGGGGTTCACGGGTTCTGGTCATTTTTGTCACATTTTAACATGACCTTTATCCCAAGACCTTGACGTGAGGTTTCAAAGGCCTGGACCGCCTGTTCCAGAGGAAAGCGATGGGTCACAAGGGGCTTCACGTTCACTTTACCCGACGCCAACATGGAGATGGCCATTGGCCAGCTGCAACAAAAACACAAAAAGCTTTTACTCCCATTAGACTAAACAACTATTTTATATGTTAAGCCTGAACTATACATAATTATCTCTGTGTGTTATTTAATCAAAGTGTTGGGTTGCAGATGATGTATCGATGTCATGAAATGCAGATGGGGGGCAGGAAGTAAATGAAGCCACGTTTCCTTCTGTTGATTCAGTGTCAAAACGCCTAAATTCTGTGCCATGTGCAGTTGTTGCAGCCGCTCTAATAGGAAAAATATCAGTTTTTTTTTCATGTTCCGAAAGTAGTGTGTCACAAGGGAGTTAAATTTTAAAAACTTGCAGAAAAAATAGGACAGAAGTGGATCAACAATCTACGGCTAAAAACAGGAGGTGCGGAAACGAACGGTTTGCAGCGACCACTTTCTAACAGGTCAGGATCGTATTGTTTAAATCATATTGTCAGATATTTTCCTGGATAGTTACTTGAATTTGGGTTTACAGAAGCTTAAAAAAACTATTTGCAAGAAGATCCAAGCACATAGAAATAACAGGAGTTAACTTCTTGTTAGCATTAGCGATAGCATTGTCATCATAGGCTAACTACTTAGAATAGCTCAGCTCACCCAGGCAGAAACAAGTCAACAGACATTTAGAGTTTCTTTGGATCCTAAGTGTTTGACCCAACCTGAAACTAAATAAATTTAGGCTTTGAGGCGTTTGAAAGCTTTCATCTGGCTCGTTGTAGCCTTTGACTTGATGTCTGCAGCACCAGATAGTAGTTTACGTTGATCGCCTCAACACCGGGTAAATCCTCCAGATTATATCTTTTTTTAAGTCTTTTTTTAGTAAGATAATATGAATCGTATCCTAAATGTACGCATTTTTTTGTGATATCTTGTCTGCACTAGCCCATTTACGGCATTAGTGTACACGTTGTGATCATTTCGCTGTGTTTTGAACCAGAGCAAATCACTTCCTGCACCCCCCCCCCCCCCCCCCATCTGACGTTCACGCGTCATCCGGGTCATGTGACCGCAACCCAGCAATGGGTTTCATTACGTGTTGCAGTAGCGAAAGACTCCTCTGATGTCCACTTCTCTGACAGCGGCGTTGACGAGAGGAACGGTGGTCATCGCGGCACCGAGACCCACCAGCACCACCACTCCTCCTGAACGCGTTGCCTGGCGGGGAAACGTTAATTATAATTCTTAATCGTCTGCCGAAGCACTTTGATGTTTACGACTCCCYCTGAAGCTGATAGAGAAAGGAGAACAGACAGTGACAAAGACATTTTGGGTTCTCCGGTTTCGATGAGTCACCGTACATAGATGGCGGTTTGGATGCAGCTCTCCACGCCGGTGCACTCGATGGTGACGTGAGGCTGAGCTCCCAGCGTGTCCTCCACTTTCTTGGCCAGCTGCTGGGCTCCGTCTTCCCTCGTCACCGTCAGCTGGAAGTCTGCGCCCAGTTCTTTGGCCATCTCCAGACGCTCGGCGCAAAGATCTGAACACAGCGGGTTACGAGTTGTGATGCTTTTAGCAGAATCCTCTACGTGCGTTGTGTCATTTCGAAGTGGTTGTGTGTTACCGCTGATGATGACCTGCGAAGCCCCCATCGCTTTGGCTGCAAGCAAGCTGACCAATCCAATAGTTCCTACAGAAAATACCAAACACRTTCATTACACTCAGTATAAAGAGTTTCACTAACTATTATAATTTTTTAATATATCTATGCTAAACATTAGCTGCCTTACAGAAAAGGTTACAGTCTAAATGTTTTCAACTCGCTTAATTTTTGTTGAGTCAGCATCATTTTCCATGACTGTGAAGTAATCAGACTCCTAACTTGTACGTCCATGTTCAGTTTCCACGTTTTGCTGTTGATGGGAACTTTACCGTTGCTCGTGCTTTACCTGCACCACAGATGAGCACAGTGCTGCCGAGGGTGACGCCCGCCCGGCTGCAGGCGTGAATCCCCACAGACAGGGGTTCGATGAGCGCTCCCTCCTCAAACGTGACGTTATCTGGCAACCTGGGGGGCGTAGCAGACACAAGCGAGAGGTGGATGAGAATACGAGAGAGATTATCTAACGGTCAGCTCTGCAACGCTGAAAACAATGGATCGGTTACTTGTAACAGAAGTTGGCGCTGTGCGCGTAATATCTGCACAGGTTTCCATCGTCTGGGGGCGTGGCACAGAAGAAGATGTCGGGAGACAAGTTATAGCGTCCCATTTTGAAGAACTCGTCCATCTTGCGGGGCACACCGGGCTCGATGGCCACTCTGTCACCTGAAAAATAAAAGTGCAGTTCATAGTGCAGGTAACTGACCTTAAAAAAATAATGGGTTTTAAACAAAGGAAAAGGAGAGTGAGTTAAACAAATATGTGATCCATCATATCAAAAAGAGGATTAAGTCAATTTTGGTCAAAATGGCCTAATCATATTTTCTGATTCTTGACTTTAAAAGCTACATTTTGATACTTAGATCGTTTTGATATCATATGTGGATCCAGAGATATGACGTGATTTGTCTTGTTGGTTAAGATGATACATTAGTATTTGATATGAATCCTAATTTTTTGTCATTTTAATAAGGATTTTTGTTATTTTAAAGAGGAAACTTCAAATAGTATTTGAATATTGAGGTTTTCTAGCTGGAAAAATACAAAAACTTTGTTAGCTCACAGGGAAAATCTCAAATATTTAAGACATTTTTCCTGAAGATCAGGTTTTTTGTTTACACTCTTTAAAAATGTGCTTAAAATATTTTAGGAATTTATTTCAGACAATTAATTCTAATGATACATTGATAAAGCATTTCTTTGTTATAATTTGACAAAATGCAATTTATCTGCCTATTTCTTCACATCCCACATATAGACTTAATCCTCATTTCGTCACATATTTAAAAATGTACATTTACTGTGTTGATAGCTGTTATTGTTCCATATTATTTGCTTTAAAGCTACAAGGCCATCATACGTCTGAGTCGTGTACTTTCCTGCTTTAAGGTGTGTGACCTCCGATCCGACCTTCACCACACGTCCTGCAGCCTCGTGGCCCAGCACCATTGGTTTTCTGAGCACAAAGTCCCCGATTCGACCATTCTGCCAGTAGTGCACATCTGAGCCACAGATTCCTACAGAATGCATCTGCAGCAAAACCTCTGAGGGGGGTAGATGAGACAGATTAGCTAACTATTCAGCCCTTTGGAATCATGCATTTTATTCTATTATAATAGTTTGAACCTTTAATTGTTTGTGCATCTATTTCTTTTTCAAATCAGCCCAATTTTATTTCACATTAAACGTAAAACACAAAAACGTTGTGCTGCACATTTAAATGCTGCTACATTAAATTTAATCAGGTCAATGACCAGTGAAAGTAGCCATTGCTTGACTTTTCAAAACACAATACATATAAATTCTCACAGTATAATGCAAAATTACAAATAGCAAATGAATTATGATTCAGAAAAGTTTATTTTTATTTTATTTTTTTACCATCAGGTCCTGGCTCTGGGACAGGACGATTGTCCTGTTGAGACACAAAAAGTTGCTTCGTTTGTTTTGCACAATTTTCCAAAGGAATGTCTGAGTCAGTGTTCGGTTTCTTACAAGCCTGAGGTCTCCCTTGGCGTGCAGCACCACGGACAGATTTTCCTGAGCCATGACTGAAGGAGCACTGAGGTGTCAGGACACGACGAGAGCAAACCTGCAACCTTTGGATCCACAGTAAAATCCCGTCCAGCCGTCACTAGCAGCCTGTACAAGCAGCACATCCTACAACCTGAGGGCTGGCACCACAACAAAGCATGTGATTGGTCAGAAAACAGAGGAATAGTCCATGTGGTAGGGGTGGTCGCTACTGAAAAAATGCGACAATATTGACAAACATACTACTATTTTCGACTTTATTCCTATGTTTATTCTTAAAATTATAATTTAATTGATTTATTTGAGGAAATCAGTCACCCAATATTTATTTTACGAGCGATGTGTCTGAAATGCCCAGATAATATTTTGTGCCGGCCCGCCTACGGCTGCTTGGCAAACGGTCGCACAAAGATGACGTAATATTTTAAAACCTCATCAAATACATTATTTCACTTTTCTACTAATCAGAAGGCAAAATAAGTTACAGATTATTGTTCACTTTTTGGAARTCCTGATTTATTTTTATCTTGATTGGTTCTTTTTAAATTTAATCATTTTATCTATTATATATATATATATTATTTTTCACTTATAGATGTTCATTCCCCTGGCTATATTGTTGTATTTTGTATCACGTTAAAAATTTCAATAAAGGTTTAAAAAATACATCATTGACTGCAGTAGCTCCTTTTGTAATTTGGACAATGAAACTACAGTGCACTTATTCTGAAGGTGTCCTTCAGTTTCCTCTGGAAAAACTTTGTTTACTAAATTCAGTCTTAAATCCTCAGTAGTTTTCCCCTCTTATATACAGACGTACTTTTTGGTTTTTACAATGTCTGCTCCTCTAACAAAAAAGGGAAAAACAACCTATGTAATTAATCTATCATTTAATTTTAGCTAAATCTCATATTCATAAATGCAAATTTTCTGCCAAGAAGCCTCTTTTTAAACTATTTTTGTCTGAATTGCTACATTATGCAGAAATCATTCAGACCTCAACTAATCCCAAAGCTGTAAAGACTGTTGAAGCCTTAAAATTCTTTAACTGTGCTTCCTGAACTATTCTCTGTTCATGCACTATGTATTTCTTTTTTGTTACTACCCGGCATTATTTCATTTTCCCAAGTTCTGTACATTGTATTGACATTTTGAAGCAATACAAAAGAAGAAAAAATACAACATTTCTACATTACATGTTTCTTTTATGAATACATATTCTTATTTTAATACAGTTCACATGTTAGTCATAAAATATTTATTGGAGCAGTCAGCATGAAAGTCAGAATTTTTTTAATTAAAGAAAAATATGGTCTGATGTGGCATTTGTCCCAATATCCATTAAAAAATCTAATTTTAACACATATTTGACTCTAATGTATAAGAAACAATAAAATGCTAATATTTTAAACTTAATCTATAAAAATAATAGTAAGAAAACAGGCAATACACACAATATTTCAAGTTATATTAACTTAACATTTTGACCTTATACAACAAAATGAAAGACAAAGGTTCTCCACCAAATAAAATATAAAAATTGCTTTCAGCAAAGTTGCAGTGATTATTGTCCGGTACTTTTTTATGACCATGTCAAAAAGAAGTATTCTTTAAAATTTGAACATCAAATTTTCCCAGGATGCACATCACACAAATCACCAGAATACTTCTGGAGACTAKCCATGTTGACATATGCTGTGGGGACAAAGCAAACAAAAATTAGGGTGATGTTAAGACATGTGGCAACAGAGAATACACTTTTTTTAAGTTGTCCGTACAACAAACTGAGCTCCTTAAATGATCGCACAGAGGAGATTCACTTCTTGACGAGTTCGTCTCAGATCTGTCAACAGAYCAATAAGAACTTCATTAGTTTCCCAGACAGCTGATAATTTGAGTTTCAGTTCAAAATACTCCCAGCGTCGAGTCAACACACTCCATTCTCCTCCTCCCTTCTTCTTCGTGGTCATCTTCTGTCAAACTCTCCTCCTTTGAAATCAAAATGAATTCAAATTAAGACAATTACAGCTTGATGTATTTTGTTAAATCATGTTTTCTGGTGTTTTTACCTGCACAGATGCCTGTTCATCGTCACGCTCCCAAATCAACCTCCCAGCTACCTTTCTCACCTCTTAAACGATAGAAGAACAGTTTTAGTTAAAACCGTTCAACTACTTGTTTATAAATTCAACCATCATTTTGTGAATTTACACAMAAATCTAGATTTAGTACAGGCAATAAAAAAAATCACCACAGTAATCCTCACCGTCCTGTACAGAGGCTGGAGGCAGCACATAATGTCCGATGCACACCGATTTCACACTTTGCCTCTTCTCACAGGTGGACAGAAACAGACAGTGAAAAACTGTCACCTTGTTCCAGATGTAGTCTTTGCTGTCAAATATCCTTAAAAACAGAAACACTGAAACTTCAACTGGATTGCGGGGGGTGGGAAATAAACGGCTCCCAAACGATCAGTTTTTTTTTTTTTAATTTTTGCTCACCTCAGCGTGTCGGGACATGTTGCATCTGCACTGAAGAGGTAATCTGCTTTCCTCCACCCCGTAACAGTTCCACCCTCCTCTACTGCAAGTAAAATAACATTAAACAAATCATTTAAATTGTTTAACCAGTTATCTTTCTGGTATCATTCTGGGAGATGAAGGCAGAGGAAAGACTTTAGCTGCTTGACCTCTCACAGTCCAGCTAAGGTTGGTGGCATCAACTAACTCACTCTTTGCTAAGCTAGCAACAACATTGAGTAACATGCACAGTAGCAGTTTCATGTTTAGCCACCGTGCCTCATAATTGGTTATAAATAAGAATGACGGAGTAAATTAGGAAATTGTGGATAAAAGAAGAAAGGTTATGTCACAAATTTGGCAGTATTAATCYGCTTTTTTTTCTCCTGGTCCTTATTTCAAATAGGTAAAACATAAGGCTGGGCGACATGGCCCAAAAAAAATCTCAGCTTTTTTCCTCCCAAATTTGATCTTCAATCTTGTCTTTGTTTTACTTTAGGTTAATTTGTAATTAAAAGTCACTAAATAAAGTTGAGTTTGGTTGAMCTAAATATTTATATTGTATATTTGTGCTTTTATTACATTTCAGTTTTTATTCACAACATTTTAAAGCTTTATTTAAAAAATCTTACTCATTAGTAATCACATTATTAACGCTTACATTTAAACTTTTATAACACACAACATAACAAATCTAAGTTAAAAAGCATTTACCTGCTAACAAACAAAACTAGTGTCTGAATAATCCTTCTACAGTACTTTAAATAGCAAAGTAAATAATAAATAAACAAACACAATAAGATAGTATTATCAAAAATAATATATAATAATCGAATATATAATAAATGTAGTACCAAAATAGCTAACAAGCTAACCTTAGCAAACCTGGACTTATAACTAGTTAACTTACCCCAAAAGTTAAGGTAATCCTTTGGTACAGTACTTGAAAACCAGGCTGTTTTAGACCGAAACATAGCTCTTCTTTAAATAATAATGCTGCCAAATTTCAGCAAAAGTTTGACACAAACATCTAAGTCCGGATATCTAAAGTTGCCTCTGTCTAAACAAACGCTAATTTGGCGCATACCGTGTTGCGTTCAGGTGCTTTTCCAAACTGTCGGAAATGTTGACTGTTTTTGGACGTGACACAAGCAGCCGCTGTGTTAGCTAAAGCTTGCGTTAGAAGGTCGAGAAAAGATTTCCTCTTGTGTTTGTGTGGGTATGACTCACTAATTTGCTGTAAAATATAAATGTTAAACCAGTTAACCTACTGTCTATAAATCTAAAAGGTTAGTCACTAAGAAAACACTGCAACAGTTTGCATGTTGCTAAAATATTACTCGTTCCCATTTGTAGGAGCAAATGTCAAGTTTATTTACAAATACAGTTGTCATTGAGTGTTGATTTTCTTGTACTGCAATATTTTAAAACCCATTTAAAGGTGAATGTAAAACAGTTTGGAACAGTAGCTGACCAGCAGATGGCAGCATTTGCAGCACATGACAGCCATCTTCAGGAAGCTACTGAAGATGGCTTTTGTTTTGAAGAATATTCATGTAGTAGWACATTTTATTTTCTGTTGCTGTTGAAAATGTATAAATCATGTCTAAAGAAGCTTTATTCTGTTTTCTTCCAAATGTGTCAAACCTGTAGACTTTGGCCTTGGATTAGAAAATCTGGGTTTTAATCTAAAAGGGTTTTTTTAGGTGGAAACTAATGTGTTACTTCAGAATAGTTAATATAGTTATAATCCTTCTCTGTGAGCTAAAAAAATGTTGGATTTTACATGTATAATGCTGTTTTAGTTTGATGCTGTCCCTTCTTCCTGGCTCTTCATTATGTTCTGATATTTTCATGGACTGGAGTCATCTGCGTCAGACACTCATCACATAAACACACAATCAGATCCTGTTGACTTTGAAACCACACGATGGCCTCTTGAAGGCATTTTTGAGTTGAATTGAAAAGTCGGCCCTCTTCACATTGAAAATATTTGTCTAAATGAGCATGTGCTACTGTTATATTTCATATTATAGAGGCACAACATCCACACACAAACACAGAGCATGTGTCTGTAAATGTAAAACGGCGGTGCAGCAATATTTCTAATTGACGCCGGCTCAAACGCTGCCATTGGTGCTGGAGGTTTTCCGAGCCGCTCGTGACTGGTGGAGATGGTTCAAAGCGGRGATAAGTCTGCTCCCATGACAACAGAGAACACACACCCAGTTTCTCACAGCGAGTGTGCTCGTTTCACCGCAAAGAGGGTGAGACAGACATCGAGGTTTCATCTGACAAATGTGATTGAAAGCGGGGGAAAAAACGTATTCTAAAATTGTGCCGTCTAGATAACAAATACACTCACTAAAAAGATTTATAGTGTATTTTTAGGTTTTTACTGTGATTGTGTGGAAGCAAGGGGTTCACTAAGAGGAAGTGTTCATCTGGTGCAGGGCAGTCTTCTTCATGGATGGACTTGATCAAAAATGATGAACAGAATTTCAAAAGACAAGTTCAATACCTTAATGAGTTACTACAGGCTTTGGGTTTTATGTATTTTACAGCCTCCAGCCCATCAGCAGAACCATGCGGTTCTCCATCAGTGAGATGGAGCCATAAATCTTACAGGATGTACATCACCGGAGACTTTATTGAACGCTTTGTGTACCAGCTCCACCAGTCTGTCATTATAACTCACACTTTAGTTCTGTGTTAAACGAGAGCCTATTATCCTCGTATTTCTCTCCCTCCCTATCAAGTCTCTTCCTCTCTCCAACTGAAGCAACAACATCAAAGGCGCGTGCTTCAAATCGCAGGTGTTGAAGGATTAAGGCCACCGCAGGATGGGGTTTTATTCTCAGCTTCATCTTTGATGTACTCTCTCTTTGACACCCTTGAATTTCTAACGTACGACGCCATTTATTAGCTCGGAGTGTCCGTTTTCTAAACTAAAAGTCTGGTGTCTTTATTCTGTCTGGTTGGAGTGGATTTCATTTAAGAAGGCTGAATTCATTTTTAGTGTGTTCTGGTGTCAAAACGGTTAAAGCAATTTACCAAAAGAAATGTAAAGAGACACAAGGAGTTTGCCTCTTCACTCCAGATGTGACTGTGAGTAACTGGTTTGGCTGTGATAATATTGTGATAATTCATGCAGTGAGTCTGTTGCACTTGAAAGAGAACGTGAGATTTTTGGGAGGCAGCGGAGAGGAAAGGTGTCAACAGAAGTGTTGAAATGCAGTGTCACCTCCAGAAAGCTGTCCGCCTTAAAACCCTTTAAAATGTTTATTAATTTTCACCTTTTGTTCTGGTTCTGCTTTTTTAATTTCTTTCTTTCTTTCTTTCTTTCTTTCTTTCTTTCTTTCTTTCTTTCTTTCTTTCTTTCTTTCTTTCTTTCT